TTAAAAATTAACAGGTCAAAAATTAATGATAAAGAATCTAAAGAACAGCAAGGAGAAAGCAAAATGCTTTATACAAGGGAAACCCCAAAAGGCTATCAGCTTGTTTTTCAGCAGAAACTGCAAGCCTGAAGTGAGTGGCATGAGATATTCAAAATGCAGAAAGGAAAAACCCTACAACTAAGAATACTCTACCTGGCAAGATTATCATTTAGAACTGAAGGAGAGATAGTTTTCCAGACAAAAATTAAAAATTAAAAAAGTTGATCAGCACTTAACCAGTCTTACAAGAAATGTTAAAAGGACTTCTTTAAGTGGAAAAGGAAACGCCATAAATAGAAGAAAATTATGAAGGGAAAAATTTCACTGGTAAAAGCAAATATATAATAAAGGTAGTAGATCAATTACTTATAAAGCCAGTATAAAAGTTAAAAAAAAAAAAAACAAAAGTAGTGAAATCATATTTTAAAAGTTAAGGGAAACACAACATTTAAAAAATGTAAAATATGGTATCTGTATATAAAATATATGGAGAGGGAGTAAAATCATACAGCTTTTAGAATGTGTTTAAACATAGGCAACCATCAACTTAATATAGACTGCTATATACAGCAAATATTATGGGATTCTCATGTAACCACAAACCAAAATCCCATCACAGATATACAAAAACTAAAGAGAAAGGAAGCCAAGCATAACACCAAAGAAAGTTATCAAATCACAAGAAAAAAGAACAAGAAAGGAACAGAGAAGAATTAGAAAACAATGACCAAAATAACAAGAAGTACATACCAATCAATAATTACTTTAAACATAAATAGACTAAATGCTCCAATCAAAAGACACAGGATGACTAGATGGGTGAAAAAAGCAAGACCCATGTATATGCTGGCCTATAAGGGACTCCACTGTAGACCCAAAGTCAAATACAGACTGAAAGCACAAAGATGGAAAAAATATTCCATGCAAGTGGAAGTGAAAAGAAAAGCTAGGGTAACAATATTTCTATCAGACAAAATGGACTTTATATATTTTTTTTAAGATTTATTTAATTTAGAGAGAAAGAGCATGCACAAGTGGGGGAAGGGACAGAGGGGGAGAGAGAATCCTCAAGCAGACTCCCCACTGAGCACACAGCCCTACTCGGGGCTCGATCCCAGGACCCTGAGATCATGACCTCAGCCAAAATCAATGCTCAGTGGACTGAGCCACCCAGGCACCCCAAACAAAATAGACTTTAGAACAAATACTGTAAGAAGAGACAAGAGCATTATGTAATGATAAAGCAAACAATCCAACAAGAGGATATAACAATTGTAAATCTCTATGCACCCAGTATAAGAGCACCTAAATTTATAACGCCAATATTAAAAGATATAAAGGAAGAAACTGACAGTAATACAGTAATAGAAGGGGGCTTTAACACCCCACTTATGTCAGTAGACAGATCATCCAGACAGAAAATCAATAAGGAAACAGTGACTTTGAATGACCCATGAGAACAGGTGTACTTAACAGCTACATTCAGAACATTTTATCCTAAAGCAGCAGAATACACATTTTTCTCAAGTGTACGTGGAACATTCTCCAGGATAGATTTCATGTTAGGCCACAAAACAAACCTCAATAAATGTAAGGAGTTTGAAATCATATTAAGCATCTTTTCTTTTTAAAGATTTTATTTATTTATTTGACAGAGAGAGGGAGCATGCTCACAAGCAGGGGGGAGGGGCAGAGAGAGAGAGAGAGAGAGCATGAGTGGGGGCGGGGAGAGGGACAAGCAGACTCCCCCACCGAGCAAGGAGCCCAATACAGGGCTTGATCCCAGGACCCCAGGATCATGACCTCAGCTGAGGGCAGATGCTTAACTGACTGAGCCACCCAGGCATCCTCAAGCATCTTTTCTGACCACAATGGTATGAAAGTAGAAATCAATTACAAGAATAAAACTGGAAAAAAACCACAAACAAGTGGAAGCTAAACAACAGGCTACTATGCAACCAATGGGTCAACAAAAACATCAGAGAGGAAATCAAAAATGACATGGAGACAAATGAAAATGGAAACACAAAGGGTCAAAATCTTTGGGATGCAGCAAAAGCAGTTCTAAGAGGGAAGTTTATAGTGACACAGGCTTACCACAAGGGACAAGAAAAATATTAAATAAACAACCTAAACTTACTCCTGAAGGAATTAGAAAAAGAACAAACAAAAGCCAAATTTAGTAGAAGGAGGAAATAATAAAGATCAGAGCCAAAATAAATGAAATAGAGACTTAAAAAAATAGAAAATCACTATGAAACTAAGAGCTGGTTCTTTGAAAAGATAGACAAAATTGATAGAGCTTTAGCCAGACTCATCAAGAAAAGGAGACAGGACTCAAATACATAAAATCAGAAAAAGGGAAGTTACAACAGACATCACAGAAATACAAAGCATTATAAAAGAGTATTACAAGAAATTATAAGCCAACAAATTGGACAACCTATAAGAAATGAATCTGTAGAAACATATGACCTTCCAGACTGAATCAGAAAGAAATAAAAAATCTGAAAAGACCGAACACTAGTAACACAATTGGATTAATAATCAAAGAACTCCCAACAAAGAAAAGTACACAACCAAATGGCTTCCCAGGTGAATTCTTCCAAATATTTAAAGAAGAGTTAATATCCATCCTCCTCAAATTACAAATACACAAAGATCAAAGGCACAGAGTAGAGAGCCAGAAGTAAGCCCATGCTTATATGGTCAGTTCAATGGGGGAAAACACAGTCTCTTCAGTAAATGGCACTGAGAAACTGGACAGCTACATGGAAAAGAATGAAGCTGAACCACTTTCTTACATCATACAGAAAAATCAAGTTGAAATGGGTTAAAGACCTAAAAGTGATAACTGAATCTATAAAAATCCTAAAAGAAAACATAGGCAGTAAACTCTTAGACAATGATCTTAGCAATATTTTTATGGATTTGTCCCCTCAGACAAGGGAAACCAAGGCAAAAACAAAAAATTTTCCATCAAGAAAATGAAAAGGCAACCTCCATAGATCAGTGCAACAGATAGAGAGCTCAGAAATAAACCCTTGTGGGCGCCTGGGTGGCTCAGTTGGTTAAGCGACTGCCTTAGGCTCAGGTCATGATCCTGGAGTCCTGGGATCGAGTCCCGCATCAGGCTCCCTGCTCAGCGGGGAGTCTGCTTCTCCCCCGGACCCTCCCCCCTCTCATGCTCTCTCTCTCTATCTCATTCTCTCTCTCAAATAAATAAATAAAATCTTAAAAAAAAAAGAAATAAACCTTTGTGTATGTGGTCAATAATATATGACAAAGGAGCCAAAAGTAGACAATGGGAAAAAGACGGTGTTTTCAGTAAATGGTGTTGGGGAAACTGGACAGCCACATACAGAAGAATGAAACTGGACCCCTACCTCAAACCACTCACAAAAATTAGCTTGAAATGTATTAAAAACTTGAACATAAGGTTGAAATCATAAAACTTCTAGAAGAAAACATAGGTGGTCAGCTTCTACACATCAGTCATGGCAATGATGTTTTGGCTTTGACACCAAAACCAAAAGTAAATAAATAGGACTATATCAGAACAAAAAGCTTCTGTACATAAAGGAAATCATCAACAAAATGAAAAGGCAACATATGAAATAGAAAATATTTGCACATCATGTATCTGGTCAGGGGTTAATATCTAAAATAGATGAAGAACTCATACAAGTCAATAACAAAAAAAACCAAAACCCACCCAAAAACAAACACACACAAAAAACAATCCAATTAAAAAATGGCCAGGGGAACTGGACAGCTTTCCCAAAAGAAGAAGTGCAAATAGCCAACAGGTACAACACGAAGCACTCCTTAGGCTTAGCTAATAGCTCCTAAAGTAGAGTAGATATCCTTTAAGTGAGTACATTTTTCTGGGAAAAGTATGGTCATGATGTTTTCAGAAACCATGGGTCAAATTCTGTATTTTAGGCCTGAAGTTCCCGTAACCCTTGTAGTATAATAATTTCTATTCCTTTCTTATGAGAAATGAACAGTAAGATTGGCTACTGTCTGTTGTCCATGTATAAATCATACTATGTTGGTATGTGCATCTTTCCCAGAAGTAAAAATTATATAGATGATACAAATGTACCTATTACAGGGACGCCTGGGTGGCTCAGTCAGTTAGGCGTCTGCCTTCGGCTCAGGTCATGATCCCAGGGTCCAGGGATCGAGCCCTGTGTCAGGGTCCCTGCTCGGTGGAGAGTCTGCTTCTCCCTCTCCCTCTGCCCCTCCCCCCACTTGTGCTCTCTCTTTGAAATAAATAGAATCTTTTAAAAAAACAAAAACAAATGTACCTGTTTCAATGGAGGGATCACGTAAAACTTACCTACTATTTTACTGATATTAGAGACCAGAGAAGAATGTCTTCAGATAAGAGAATATTGCTGGCTTTGACCATGACCCAGATACTGAAAGAGCCACACCACATCCTCTCTTTCAAGCAGTTGCGGGCACAGGCATCTGTGTCTCCCACTTAAAAGGGGGGGGCCACGGTGAACATGTACGTGTGCATATTGTAGAAACGCTCCAGAACCGCTGGGTCTTGTGGCAAAAAACAAACAAACAAAAAAAAAAGTTCACCAGCAGAGGACTAAAATTAGTTTGGGCATTTGACTGATCTCTATCCCCTGACACCTTGAAATTGTTTCTGTTTGCTGAATATTAAAGACTGAGCCAGGCTAAGTTTGGACCAGGCTGTGAGATGCACGGATTTGCTATGGGATACCAGCTAGTTGAAGATCCATGGTGATTAGTGTCTTCCAAATTGCCAACTCCCTTTTTGGTCTCCAGCTTTATTCCACTGGTTCTAAGTATCAGAGTTTTCTATCAAATAGGTCATATGATACTAATTAAGCAATTGGTCAAAACCAGACTATTTATTATATGTTAAGGGTATTGTGGAAAGCATGTGCTGAATGCAGTGTCTGTGATCTTCTTTCCAGAAGGATGTTTTCCACGATCTCGGCAGGGGGATTCTGGACAGCGCTTGGCAAGGCTATAATGCCACCCTCCTAGCCTATGGCCAAACTGGCTCTGGAAAAAGCTATTCCATGGTTGGGTTTGGTGCAAACAAGGGTATTACTCCAAATGTGTGCGAGGAGCTCTTTCAAGCAATTGAGAAGCAAGAGGGAAATGAAGAATACCAGGTATGCATTATCCGAAAATCCCTTCTTCCAGGAATTTCTTTTTTTCATTTTGGAAATTCCTGGCTCCAAATGATCAGCATCTCTCTTTCAAGATAGTGTTAATTTTCCATACCGAAATCTTCTCAGGATTGCAAAATCAAGTTGCTGCTAACTAGAATGCTGACCTTTTCTGGTTCTATGGAGGCAAACCCAAAGTCGCTTCCAGTATCCTAGAAGCAGATGTCTTAAAGCTAACCACTCACGAGGGACTCTCGTTGAGGCTGATAGAACAAGAGCCTCACTGACTTGCTGATGGCTTCCTTTACTCCCCTCTTCTGCCAAGGCTGTGGGTGTGTGCTCATTTTCATTTCTTTATTTTTTTTTTTTAAAGTAGGCTCCGTGCCTGTGGAGCCCAGTGTGGGGCTCGATCCTGAGATGGAGACCTGAGCTGAGCTAAAGAGTTGGATGCTTCACTTACTGAGCCACCCAGGCACCCCGTGGCATCCTGTTTTCTCATGGAGAGCATTCTTTCTCTCTCCGAAGCAATGAGTTATAGGACTTTAAAGAACGTTTCTTCTACTCCATGCATCATCTGCTTTCTCAGAGTTCCTTTTTTCTACTGTTTGTTTGATCTCTCATATTGGAGGCTTTCCTTGTCTGCTAATCTTAGGCCATTGGTTTAAAACATGTGACACTCAAGCTCGTTGGAAGCTCTGGGGATATGGGAGGTGACTGGGAAGACCCACCACTGGGAGACGAAAACCACAAGCCCGCCTTCTCATGGGTGGCGGTGGCAAATATCAGTATCTTAGGGCCTTTTCTCTATGCTAGAGCCATTCCGATTCCTCCAGCCTCCCACATACAGGGTGTCGGCTTGTCCAGAAATATTCCAGAAGGAATACACAGTATGATAAAGACCAGTCTTTTTCTCTACATATGTTCAGATTGGGAGTGAGTAATAAAGAATAACCTTTTTCTATTGCCAAGCAAGACCGAAATACAAACACACAGGGTTGTGCATATGTTTTTAATTTATATTAAGAATTTCTTCCATATCATTAAAATTATGTGAGAATCATTTATTGCATGTGAATTAGCATTACTATATTTTTATTTATTTTTATTTTTTAATTAATTAATTTTTTTTTTTGCGATACAATGACACCCTGTTTATTTGTCAGAGAAAGAACATGTTCTGGCAAGTCTTGGAAATTAAATCCACTCCAGAATAGAATATTAGAAAACAGCTTCTTAATTTAATACGTAATTTGAATATAAAGAGCTTTAAAATGAGTCCATGTTAATGACCGCAAAATAAATAAGACAAAATTTGACAAAATTATAAGAGAAAAATGACAAATCTAAAATAATGTTTTTTAACACAACTCTCAGTGATTAAGAAATCAGGCAAATTTTTAGCAAGAATATAGATGATATAAGCAATGTAATAAACTTAATCTAGTAAACACATATAAAATTCATACCCAATAATTAGGGAATGCTTATTCTTTTCAAGCCCAATTGAAACATTTAGAAAAATTGACAATACACTAGACCACAAAGCAAGGTTCAAGAAATACTAAAGAGTCTATATCATATAGACCAAATTTTCTGACTAGCATTACTATATTTTTAAAAGATTTTATTTATTTATTTAAGAGAGAGAGAGAGCACAAGCAGGGTGAGGGGCAGAGGGAGAGGGAGACTCCCCGTGAGCAGGGAGCCAGACGCGGGGCTTGATCCCAGGACCCTGGGATCACGACCTGAACCAAAGGCAGATGCTTCACCGACTGAGCCACCCAGGTGCCCCAAGCATTACTATATTCAATATTAGCTTCTCCCTTTGTTGGAAATTTATGTTGTTCCTATATGACTTTTTTCCCCAAAGATGAGGTTCCAGAGAATATTAACTTTATGTTCTTTTCTATACAGGTTACGTTCAGTATGCTGGAAATTTACAATGAGCAGGTAACAGTGATTGTATTCTCTGACACACACACCTGAGGGACTCTGCAGCCAGAGTCTCCCCCTCCCCCACCCTACAGCTGGAGTGCCAACTCCGTAGCGCACCATGGGCTTCAGCCCTGTCCTACCTCTCCGGCTCCACTTCTTGCCCCTTTAACTCCACACACTCTATGCTTCTGCCACATAAACATCTTCCTCTCTGGAACATGTCATTCTTCCCAACATCTACCCTTCTCTGCCCTTCCAGGGTCTGCTCCCCTACCCATCCAGTTGACCTCAGTCAGCATGTGGGGCAGAGGGGTGGCAAACTGTTTTCAAAGGGCCGGATGGTTTGTGCTGCAACTATTCACCTCCCCCCCAGCACAATGGAATACGGGGCAGTCGGGGGGGGGGGAGGTTCCAATGGGGCACAGTTCTTGGACACTGAAACTTGAATTTCACATAATTTTTTGATGTGGGGCTGAGAGTCAGTGGTCAAGAAAGAATTCTTGAGATGCTTTCAGTGCAAAGAGGTGCTTTTGTTAGAGCAAGGCGACAGGACTCTTGGGCAGAAAAACCTGCCCCAGGGTTATAAGGAGTGGCTAATTATGGACTTCTGTTAGTGGGGTTTAGGGACAGGTAAGTCTCTAAGGAATTTGTGCATGTTAGAAGCAAGGCCTCCAGGACGTTGGCTGTGTTAAGTTTGCTCAAATCTTTAAAGATACATCAACATTAAGGCGGCCATGATTTCCTTGCGGAATGCCACACTTTGCAACTTAGGCTGCAAGTTGTAAGGAAATTTAATTTCAGCTGCATTTCTCTTGCCTTTGTTCTTCTCATCAATTTTCACATGTCACAAAATATTTTTTTTAAAGATTTTATTTATTTGTCAGAGAGAGAAAGAGAGAGAGCTCATGAGCAGGGGGAGAGGCAGAGGGAGAAGCAGACTCCGCGCTGAGCAAACAGCCCCACGTGGGACTTGATCCCAGGACCCTGGGATCATGACCTGAGCCGAAGGCAGACGTTTAACCGACTGAGCCACCCAGGCATCCCCCAAATATTTTTCTTTTGATTTTTTTCAGTCACTTAAAAATGTGGAAAACATTCTTATGTCAAGGATCCTACAAAAACAGGTGGCCGGCTGAATTTAGCACCCACACCATGGTTTGCCTGTCCCTGGGGTGGTTGGAAAGAGCATGATCTCAGACCCCACCTCTCTCATTGAGTAGCCATGTGACTTTGGAAAATCACTTTATCTCAGAGCTCAGTTTTCTCATTTATAGAGAATTTAAAATAAGACACCACACATTGAGGTGCACTGTTTTAAATTTCTAACACAGAGCTTAGAAAACACCAGATATTCATTGCCCTTTCCCCCTGAATTGATCATATTATACTGTGAAATTTTATTTACATATTTGCGTCTCCAGAACAGATCATGTCCTTGTGAACATCTTTCAATATGAAGTACCCTCTCAATACTCAGTGCACTTGTAGATTTAGAATGCGTGCTCCTGAATATTTACTGAGTGGATGAATTGACAAAGGCATCTAAAACTGTAAGTTTCTTATAGGAGACCATATCCTAATAGTTTTTGTGCAACCCCAAGCACTATCCAAAGCCTTGCACTTAATCATTCCTAAATATTAAAGGAATTAATCTGTCAGTGTTTTTCTCTTTATATTAAAGAAAGAAAATATCCATTTTGTTTCTTACACTCTTTCATGAGTCATTTATTACCATTGAAGGTTGATAGTAAATTCAATGGGTTCTTTTTTTTAAAAGATTTTAAATTCCAATTAGTTAACATATTAGTTTCAGGTATACAATATAGTGATTCAACACTTCCCTACATCACCCGGTGCTCATCATGACAGGTGCACTCCTTAATGTCAATCACCTGATTCATCTCCCCACCCCCACCCACCTCCCCTCTGGTGACCAGCAGTTTGTTCTCTAGAGTTTAAGAGTCTGTTTCTTTGTTTCTCTCTATTTTCCCTTTGCTCATCTGTTTTGTTTCTTAAGTTCCACATGAGTGAAATCATATGGTATTTGTCCTTCTCTGAATGGCTACTTCACTTAGCATAATACTTTCTAGCTCCATCCAAGTCATTGCAAATGGCAAGATTTCATTCTTTTTTATGGCTGAGTAATGTTTCATTGTGTATATATTCATACACCACTTCTTCTTTACCCAATCATCAGTCGGTGGACACTTGGGTTTTCCATATTTTGGCTATTGTAGATAACGTTGCTATAAACATTGGGGTGCATGTATCCCTTTGTATTAATTTTTTGTATTCTTTGGGTTAAATACCCAGTGGTGCAATTGTTGGATCATAGGGTAGTTCTATTTTTAACTTTTTGAGGAACCTCCATACTGCCCTCCATAGTGGGGGGTAAGAGGGTTCCCCTTTCTCCACTTCCTCATCAACATCTGTTGTTTTTTGTGTTTTTGATTTTAGCCATTCTGACAGGTGTGAGGTGATATCTCATTGTGGTTTTTATTTGCATTTCCTTGATGATGAGTGCTGTTGAGCATCTTTTCATGTGTCTGTTGGCCATCTGCATGTCTTCTTTGGAGAATTGTTTGTTCATGTCTTCTGTCCTTTTTAAATTTGGATTATTTGTTTTTTGGGGTGTTGAGTTTTATCAGTTCTTTATATATTTTGGATACTAACCCTTTTAAATATCTTCTCCCATTCAGTAGGTTGCCTTTTAATTTTATTGATTGTTTCCTTTGCTGTGCAGAAGCTTTTTATTTTGATGAAGTCCCAGTAATTTCTTTTTGCTTTTGTTTCCCTTGCCTTAGGAGACATATCTGGAAAGAAGTTGTTATGGCCTATGTCAAAGAGGTTATTGCCTGTGTTCTCCTCTAGGACTTTTATGGTTTCCTGTCTCACGTTTATGTCTTTAATCCATTTTGAATTTATTTTTGTGTATTGTGTAAGAAAGTGGTCCAGTGTCATTCTTCTGCATATCACTGTCCAATTTTCCCAACACCATTTGTTGAAGAGACTGTCTTTTTCCCATTGGATATTCTTTCCTACTTTGTCGAAGATTAATTGACCATATAGTTGTGGGTTCCAAGTGGGTTCTTCTGTTAAGGTCACTAATCAAGTTTCTATTTCTTTCAAGTTGCTAAGGCTTGAAAGACAGTGTGACTCCTTTATTTTGTACCAATGACTTCTTTGGGAGGACAATTTAATTTCCTTTGTTACCAAGTTCTGGTGGGCATCTCACTGTGGTCTCCCTTCTGAAATCTGTTTATGATGATAGTCTGTATGGAATTCGGTTTCCTCATCTCTAAAATAAGAACACTGGACATCCTGGGGTGGCTCAGTTGGTTAAGCGTCTGCCTTGGGCTCAGGTCGTGATCCCAGGGTTCTGGGATCGAGCCCCATGTAGGGCTCTCTGCTCATCTGAGGATGAGTTAATCCTTGGACTTAATTCCTGCCATGAAGGAGTCTAGTGGGAGCTACAACACCCTCCCCAGACAGTGATGTATGACATGTGTGCCATGAATGGTGAAGAGCAAGGGGCAGAGAGGACGAAATACATGACTACCTGGGATGTTTGGCAGCAATGTTCAATGCTGGACTTAGACTGGACCTTGAAAAATGTGTAGGAGTTTGGTGAGGCAGCTGGAGGGTTGGGGGCACAGACAGGGGCACTTTAGGCAGGATTAGTTTTAACCAGTCCAAAAATACATGAAAGTGCATGGCATTTAAAGGAACAGTCAGTACCCTGTGTAGCCAGAGTTGGATACATGGTGGGGGTCTGCCAGAAGTAAAGGGACTTTGTCCCAGAGGCAGTACAGAATCCATGGAGGGTTTTATAGGGAAATCCCTATAGATTGGGATTCTAGAAGAGTTCTCTAGCAGCAGAGTGAAGTTGCATTTGAATGTGTGTCAAAAAGAGGCAGAGTTAGGGGATTCTCAGGAAAGCCCAGGTGAGTGAAGGTCTTGTGACAATCACCAATTTTGATCTCCAGGCACAACATGGAGGGTCCCGGCACCAGGATCCACTCTTGTCTCTGGACGCCCATACTTCCACTCCACCCAGATAAATCTACTCAGCTTTTTTCTAATAAGCCTTACTCAGTCCTATCGTCAGCCTTAGAAGCCCCTTCCAACAATCTGCATGTTAGAGGAAAGGCTTCCTAGCTACACCAGAAGTGGTCTCTGTTTTGATGTCTCCTTATCTCTGTCACCTTATGTCCACTGTCTTAGTCTGGCTTGCCCAAACTTCAGTCTGTGATCTTGCCTTGGCTCTAGGATGAAAAGCTGTAGAATACCAGAGCTGGGGGAGATCTCAGAGATAATTTAAACCACCCCTACCATTATGAATACTGGGAAAGTAAGAGATTTTCCAAAGCACTCCCAGGTTAGAGGCAGAACCAGGACTGAGAACCCAGGTCTTCAGGCTCCCAGTCCAGACATCTCTGCACCATATAACACCGGCCACCCCTCTGGGGCCTCTGGCTCTACCAGAATCCCACAGTAGGACCTAGTTGGCCTTGTCAGAGGTGGCTTTTCTTGGATGAGAGGCAACATGGGCTTTCACCCAACGCCATGGTCTAGGTGTGACATCTCACAAATCTCCAATAATAAGATCCAAAGAATCACCCATATTCTCCCATTAGGTTTGACTGTAGCAAATACTGTTTGGATTGAATTAGTTTCCATTGGAAGTAGAGAGTTCAGGGTGGTGGCTTTTGTGGGCACATGATCTCACCTAGGCAGACCATGCCTTCTGCTTACATTAGTAAGCAGTTACTATCTACTATTTATTTTTATTTTCATTTATCACTGTTCTCGGTAAAATAAGACCGAGATTACAAAATTACTTTGTAATAGAGAATTTATGATAATTCAGAGAGGGGCTAGGATAGTGTATTTTTATATTATCCACAAAGGAATTGCTAATCAAACAAAATAATTAATAAGATTTCTAGGCAAATGTTTGTCAATAAAAGAGTAAAAGTTTCAAGCACAAATGTTTTAGAAGCACCTGTTAAAAGCCAGACACCTGTGCATACCTACTCCAATATTTTATCCTGCTGCAGAAGCAGATCTGCAGCATCCTACATGTGATGTATTAAACATTATTTGTTAGCCTAGCTCTGGTTACACTGTTCTGTCAAAAATCATTCACTGAGTGCCTCTTCTACGATGGGAACTATGTCAGGATCTACTAGTAAAAAGCCCTGGTCCCACCCAAAGGGAGTTCACAGGCTGGTTGAAGCGCTCTAGGTACTAGAAAATACTAGAACTGAGTTTTTATTTACATCACTTATTACAACAGGTTTCCCTCCTGTTTGCCATTCCCCTATTTCTTATTTACCTAAATAGTGAGCTTGTCTGGTGCCTACAGAAATTTAACATTTATTCATTCATCTAATAAGTTTTAATTGAGCACTTAATATATTCTAGGCAGAAGTGTAGGTGTTAGGTGTAACAGTGAAGTAAATAGAAATCTCTGCCTTCCTGAAGTTTACATTATTTATTCTTTTTTCCACAGATAAGAGACTTGCTATCTAGAACCAAGAAACCTGGGGGACTAAAAGTAAGAGAAGATCAACAGCTGGGCTTTTATGTGGATGGCCTGAAGTCAGTGCCCTGTGAGAACTATGCACAGATTGAAAGGCTGATGGAACAAGGGACAAAAATAAGGACCACAGCATCGACCAACATGAACGCCAGCAGCAGCCGGTCTCATATGGTTATCACCATTCAGTTCAAGCAGGTGAGACTCGTGGGAAGGCTGCTGTCCCAGTTTCCCACTAAGCGTGATCCATGGGAAGGGTTTCCAGTGGCATGAGTTGGTGAGTACTATGGAATCCTTTCAGATTTGACCTATGGATTAAGGTGGCTACTTCCAACCATGGGCTATGGGGTCAGAAACAGAAGAAAGTGAGGCACTTTCTCTTTTCCTACCTCCCCACATCCCTGCTCCACCCAGGCTCCCCAGGATGATGATGACCAGCTTTCAGATCCATGAGCCTAGAGAACCACCAGATACTGAACTACCTTTCCAATACTTGGAAGTCGCAAGATAAGGTCTTTGAAACTAGCTAATCCATGTAACTCTCCACTAACTAGAATTTTTGAAAAAACTGAGCACATTTTTCTCCTCCATACTTCTTGGTAGATATCAGAGAATAAACTCTAGATCATCATCAGTTTGATTCTAAATAGTTATTTACAAAGCCTGGGTAAGCATTACAGTTAACTATGATTTCACCATCTCTGTTCCCTAAGCCACATCCCTAGTAATAGACAGAATGGTGAAAATGAAGATTACCCTGCTCTAACCAGGAATAGTGGGAAAACACTGGGCTATATCTAACTCTGTTTACCAGCTTTGAAACTTCGGGAAATAACTTACTCGTCCTTAGTCTCAGTTTCCTATTCTGCAAAATGAGACAAATAGCTATTCTGCAGGAGTGCTGGGAAGCTTAAAGAAGGACCTGCATTTTAAAGAACTTTGGAGGATGACTGGGAAGATGGCAGAGAAGGCTCTGAGTTCACCTCCTTCCACAGACACACAGAGACAACTATGCATAATCCAACTCACTCTGGAAACGACCTGAAGACTGGCAGAACAGCTCTTCCACAGCTAAAGACGTAAAAAGAAACCCACAATGAGAAGGGTAGGAGGGGCAGAGGTCTAGATGGAAACCAAACCCCAGGCATAGCGACCCTCAAGCAAGAAGGATATCACAGGCACCAAGGTATTTCTTGAGGAGCCAGGGTTTCAAGCTTTACATCAGGCACCCCCTGCCCTGGAGACCTGCATCAGAAAGACAAGCCTTATAACACTGGGCTTTGAAAATCAGCAGACTCAACTCTGGGAGAGGTGGAGGGCTATAAGAAATTGACAGTCCACCCCTAAAGGGCCAGCACACTACATCCCGCACTGTGAGACCCAGCACAGAAACAGTGGTTTAGAAGTGCCTGGGTTATACATGAAGAAGATATAGTGACTAATTTCAGGGCATGTGCCAAAGGATCAGAGATATGTAGGAGCTCTTGTAGGAACAAGAGTTCTGGAAGGTGCTATTTTTCTCAACCTTCTTCTGCCTAGCTGGTCAGTCCTTGTGGGAGCCAGTTCTGACACTCTCCATCCACCTTCTTAACACTGTTTGCCCTGCCTGGTGTTTCGCTGTGGATGTGCCTCACCCACCCACCCCTGAAGGCACCCCGTCAAAGAGAGTCCTTCCCCAAGGAGGAGGGGAGCCAGCCTTGACCACCAGCACACCTGCAGCAGCTACAGTCGGGCCTCTCAGCAAGCTGTCTTGGGGGCCAGCTCTGCCCATCAGCACACCCACAGCAGGTGCAGCCAGTCACACAGGGGGTGCACACAGCCCACACAATAGATATCCCTGAAGCACCTGGTTCTGATGACCAGGGGGATTGTGCTGCTGGGCTCCCCATAGAATGCATTCTACACAAGGCCACTACTGTCAGGCCCAGGAGATACAGTTAACCTACCTAGTACACAGAAAGAAATGAAGGGTCAGACAAAATCAGGAGACAGGAAAATATGTTCCAAACAAAAGAACAAGACAAAATATCAGTAAAAGAACTAAACAAAATGGAAATAAGCAATCTGCCTGATAGAGTTCCAAGTGAGACAGGTGCTCCACAGACTAGAGAGAAGAGTGGATGAGCTCAGTGAGAACTTCAACAAAGAGATAGGAATATAAAAAGAACTAATCATAGCTAAGCAATTTGCATTATCAGGGTCCCAGAAAGAGAGGCGGGGGGGGGGGCAGAAAATGTATTTCAAGAAATAATACCTGAAAACTTCCCTAACCTTGGGGGAAAAATAACAGACATCCAGGTCCAGGAATCACAGAGCGCCCCAAACAAGATGAACCCAAGGGACTCCACACTAAGACACATAATAATTAAAATATTGAAAATTAATAATAGAAGGAGAATCTAAAGGACAGCAATATTAGAAAAGCAAATTGCTATATACAAGGGAAACCCCATAAGGCTATCAGCTTATTTTTCAGCAGAAACGTGACCAGAAAGGAATGCCATGATATATTCAAAGAACGGAAAGGAGAAAACCTACAATGAAGAATTCTCTACCCATTAAGGTTATGATTCAGAATTGAAGGAGAGATAAAGAGTTTCCAAAACAGGGGCGCCTGGGTGGCTCAGGCGGTTAAGCATCTGCCTTCACCTAAGGTCATGATCTCGAGGTCCTGGGATCAAGGACTCTCTGCTCAGTGGGGAGTCTGCTTCTCCCTCTCCCTCTGCTGCTCCCTGCTGCTTGTGCTCTCTCTCTCTCAAATAAATAAATAAAAAAGGTCTTTGAAACTAGCTAATCTTTCTTAAGAAAAAAAAGTTTCCAGGACAAACAAAATTAAAGGAGATCATTACCACTACATTAGCCTTACAAGAAATGTTAAAGCAGACATAGGGTGACTGAATGGATTAAAAAAACAAAACAAAACAAAACAAAACACAAGACCCACGTATATGCTGCCTACAGGGATTCACTTCAGACATAAAGACACATACAGACTGAAAGGGAAAAGATATTCCATGCAATTGGAGGCAAAAAAAAATGCTAGGGTAGACAAACTGACTTTAAAACAAAGAGTGTGGGGTGCCAGGGTGGCTCAGTTGGTTAAGTATCTGCCTTGGCTCAGGTCATGATCTCGGGGTCCTGGGATCGAGCCCTGCGTCAGGCTCCCTGCTCAGCGGGGAATCTGCTGCTCCCTCTCCCCCACAACCACCTACGTGCTCTCTCTGTCTCTCTCAAATAAATAAAAATCTTAAAAAAATAAAACAAAGACTGTAACAAGAGACAAAGAAGAGCATTACATAATGATAAAGGGATCAATCTAACAAGAGGATAAACAACTGTAAATCTCTACGCACCCAATATAGGAGCACCTAAATATATAAAGCCAATATTAAGAGACATAAAGGGGGAAAGTGACAGTAATATAATAATAGAAGGGGACTCTAACACCCCACTCATGTCAGTGGACAGATCATCCAGACAGAAAATCAACAGGGAAATGGTGGCTTTGAATGGCACGTGCGACCAGATGGACTTAACAGCTACATTCAGAACATTTCATCCTAAAGCAGCAGAATACACATTTTTCTCAAGTGTTCATGGAACATTCTCCAGGATAGATTTCATGTTAGGCCACCAAACAAACCTCAATAAACATAAGGAGTGTGAAATCATATCAAGCATCTTTTCTGACCACAATGGTATGAAACTAGAAATCAATTACAAGAATAAAACTGGAAAAAAACACAAACAAGTGGATGCTAAACAACAAGCTACTAACCAACCAATGGGCCAACAAAGACGCCAGAGAGGAAATAAAATAATACATGGAGACTGGGGTGCCTGGGTGGCTCAGTCATTGAAGCATTTGACTCTTGGTTTCAGCTAAGGTCATGATCTCAGGGTCATGAGATCGAGCCCCGTGTAGGGCTCTGTGCTCAGCAGGGAGTTTGCATGAGATTCTCTCTCTTCCTCTCCTTCTTTCCTCTCCCCATTTGTGCTCCCTTTCTCCCTCCCTCTCTCTCTCAAATAAACAAACAAATAAATACCTTAAAAAATTCATGGAGACAAATGAAAATAGAAACATAATGGTTCAAAATCTTTGGGATGCAGGGCTGCCTGGGTGGCTCAGTTGGTTAAGCATCTGACTCTTGTTTTTGGCCCAGGTCATGATCTCAGGGTCCTGAGATCAAGCCCCGCATCAGGCTCTGCACTCACCTGGAAGTCTACTTGTCCTTCTCCCTCTGCTCCTCCCCTGCTCGTGTGCTCTCTCTCTCTCTCAAATAAATAAAATCTTTTTAAAAAATCTTTGGGATGGAGCAAAAGCACTTCTAAGAGGGAAGTTTATAGACACAAGCCTACCTCAAGAAACAAGAAAAATATTAAATAAACAACTTAACCTTATACCTAAAGGAACTAAAAAAAGAACAAAAGCCAAACTTAGTAGAAGGAAGGAAATAATAAAGATCAAAGTTAAAATAAATGAAATAGAGGCTAAAAAAAAGAAAATATCTATGAAATTAAGAGCTGATTCTTTGAAAAGATAAAAAAATTGATAAGCCTTTAGCCAGACTCACTAAGAACAAAAGAGAGAATGCCCATATACATAAAATCAGAAATTAAAGAGAAGTTCAACAGACATCACAGAAATACAAAGGATCAGGGCACCTGGGTGGCTCAGTCGGTTAAGCATCTGCCTTCAGCTCAGGTCATGTTCCCAGGGTCTTGGGATCAAGTCCCACATCAGGCTCCCTGCTCAGCAGGGAGTCTGCTTCTCTCTCTACCCTTCCCCCTTCTCGTGCTGTCTTTCTCTAATAAAAAAATCTTAAAAAAAAATACAAAGGATTATAAGAGACAACTACAAAAGATTATGAACCAACAAATTGGACAACCTAGAATAAATTGATAAATTCCTAGAAACATACAATCTTCCAAGTCTGAATCAGGAAGAAATAGAAAATCTGAACAGACCAATTACCAGTAACAAAAGTGAATTGGTAATCAAAGAACTCCCAACAAACAAAAGTACAGGACCAGATGGCTTCCCAGATGAAGTCTACCAAACATTTATTTTTTTTAAAAAGATTTATTTATTTTAGAGAGAGAGAGTGTGTGCGTGAGAGCAAGCATGATTTGGGGGAGGGGCAGAGGGAGAGGGAGAGAATCTCAAGCAGACTCTCCTCTGAGCACGGAGCCTTGAGGGGCTTGATCTCACAACCCTGAGTAATGACCTGAGCCGAAATCAAGAGTCAGACACTCAACCGACTGAGCCACCCAGGCATCCCTCTACCAAACATTTAAAGCAGTGTTAATATCCTTTTCAAACTATTCCAAAAATTAGGAGAGGAAAGAAAGCTTCCAAATTCACACTATGAAGCCAGCGTTACCCTGATGCAAAAAATAAATAAATAATTAATTACAGATCAATATCCCTGATGAATGTAGATGCAAATGTCTTCAACAAACTAAATTCAACAATACGTTAAAAGTATCATTCCCCACAAATCAAGTGGGATTTATTGCAGGGATGCAAGGATGGTTCAATATTTGCAAATCAATCAATGTGATACACCATTAACAAAATGAAGGATAAAAATCATATGATTATTTTAATAGATGCAGAAAAAAGCATTTGACAAAACTTAACATATGTTCACAGTGAAAAGTCTCAACAAAGTGGATTTAAGGAGAACAACTCAATGTACATAATAAAGTCCTTATGTGCCAAACCCACAGCTAGCATCATACTCAATGGTGAAAAACTAAAGGTTTTTCCTTTAAGATCAGGAACAAGGCAAGGATGTCCACTCTTGCCACTTTTATTCAACATAGTACTGGAAGTCCTAGCCAAAGGAATCAGGCAATCAGACATGGAAAAGAATAAAATGCATCCAAATAAGTACAAAAGAATTAAAATTTTCATTATTTGTAGGTAAGATGATACTATACATAGAATACTCTAAAGACTACCAAAAAACTATTAGAATTAATAAATGAAATCAATAAAGTTTCAGGATAAAAAATTAATACACAAAAATCTATTTCTATACAATGATAATGAACTAGCAGGAAAAGAAATTAAGAAAACAATTCCATTTACAATTCTATCAGAAAGAATAAAATACCCAGCAATAAATTTAACCAAGGAGGTAAAAGAAATGTATTCTGAAAACTATAAGACATTGATAAAAGAAATTGAAGAAGACACAAATAAATGGAAGGACATTCCATGCTCATGGATTGGAAGAACAAATATTGTTAAAATGTCTATACTATCCAAAGCGACCTACAGATTCAATGCAATCCCCATCAAGATACCAATACTATTTTTTATAGAACTAATAATCCTAAAATTTATATGGAACTACAGAAGACTCCAAATAGCCAAAGCAATCTTGAGAAAGAGGAATAAAGCTGGAGGAATTGCAAACTATACTACAAAGCTACAGTAATGAAGAGTATGGTACTGGCACAAAAACAGACGCATAGATCAATGCAACAGAATAGAGAGCCCAGAAATAAACCCACACTTTTATGGTCAATTAATCTATAAAAAAAAAAGGCAAGAATATACAATGGGAGAAAAGACAATCTCTTCAATATATAGTGTTGGGAAAATTGGTCAGCTACATGCAAAATAATGAAACTGAACCACTTTCTAACACCATACACAACAATAAATTCAAGGGGCACCTGGGTGGCTCAGTCATTAAGCGTCTGCCTTCGGCTCAGGTCATGATGCCAGGGTCCTGGGATCGAGCCCCACATCGAGCCCTGCATCGGGCTCCCTGCTCAGCGGGAAGCCTGCTTCTCCCTCTCCCACTCCCCCTGCTTGTGCTCCCTCTCTCGCTGTGTCTCTCTCTGTCAAATAAATAAATAAAATCTTAAAAATAAATAAATAAATAAATTGAAAATGGATTAAAGACCAAAAATGATAACTGAATCTATAGAAAGAAAAAAGAAAACATAGGCAGTAAATACTCAGATAGTCTTAGCAATATTTTTTTGGATATATCTCCTTAGACAAGGGAAACAAAAGCAAAAATAAACAGTTGGAACTACATCAAAATAAAAAGGTTTTGTACAACAAAGGAATCCATCAGCAAAAATGGAAAGGCAACCGACAGAATGGGAGAAGGTATTTGCAAACGACATATCCACTAAGGGGTTAGTATTCAAAATACATAAGAATTTATACAAATCAACATCAAAATCAAAACAAGGAACAGTCTGATTTAAAAACTGGACAGAGCTTCTGAATAGACATTGTTCCAAAGACTGATACACATACATGAAAAGATGCTCAACATCACTCATCACCAGGGAAATGCAAATCAAAACCACAATGAAATATCATCTCCCACCTGTTAGAATGGTGAAAATCAAAAACACAAGAAATAACAAGTGTGGGCGAGGATGTGGAGAAAGGGGAACCCTCATGCACTGTTGGTGGGAATGCAAACTGGTGCAGCCACTGTGGAAAACGGTATGGAGGTTCTTCAAAAAATTAAAAATAGAAATACCATGACAATCCAGTAATTCCACTGCTGAATACTTACCCAAAGAAAATGACAACACTATTTGAAAAAGATATATGCACCTCTGTATTTATTGCAGCACCATTTACCATAGCCAAGATAGAGAAATAACCTAAGTGTCCACTGATACCATATGGTATGTATACTCAATGGAATATTACTTACCTTTAAAAAAGAATGAAATCTTGCCTTTCAGGACAACATGGATGGACCTAGAGGGTACTAGGCTAAGTGAAATAAGTCAGAAAAAGAAAAATACCATATGACTTCACTTGTATGTGGAATCTTAAAACACAAGACAAATGAACAAACCGACCCAAATAGAAAGAGACTCATAAATTCAGAAAGCTGGTGGTTGCCAGTGGGGAGGGTTTAGAGGGATGGCTGAAATAGGTGAAGGGGATTAAGATGTATCCACTTCTAGTTAAAAAATAAGTAAGTCACAGGGATGAAAAGTACAGCATAGAGAATACGGTCAGTAATATTGTAATGACATCGTATGGAGACATTTGGTAACTCCACTCACCACAGGTGAGCATTTTGTAACATATATAATTGTCAAATCACTATGTTGTACACCTGAAACTAATGTAATGTTGCATGTCAACTGTACTTCAATTAAAAGTAAAAAAAAAATAGGAGCCCCTGGGTAGCTCAGTCGGTTAAGCGTCTGACTCCTGCTTTCGGCTTAGGTCATGATCTCAGGGTCATGAGATTGAGCCACGTGTGGGGCTCCACACTCAGTGGGGAGTCTGCTTGAGATTCTCTCTCTCTCTCTGCCCCTCCCACCCCACTCATGCATGCACGTGCACACTCTCTCAAATAAATACATCTTTTTTTTTTTTTAAGTAAGAGAATAAAGAACTTTATAAACTTTAAGTACTATTCGGATGATTTTACATTAGTAACATTCATAAACTTTCTATATGCTTTGCCCTTTTTTTAACTTGATGTTTTAGAGGCAAGGGAAGAAATCCACTGAAAAAATATGTGTAGAGATCTAGCATTACACTCTGCGTATTAGTGTCAGTAATGATATTAACACCTGTTACTGTATGCTGGGCGTGGTGAGAACCATTACTTCTCTTATCTGTTACCCTCCTAACACCCCAATAATATGCTGTGATCCCTGTTTTCCAACTAAGACAGTTGCAATTCTGAAAAGCTAGTTCTCACAGTCACGTAACCAGCAAGGGGATCTGTCACATTCTAAAATCTACATTCTTTTCCCCTCCCTGCATGACCACACTGCTCCAAACAGTTCCTTATTTTGCAGATTTCCCAGTATTTTCTACTTAAAACGTTTGATCACAGAAATACTAGAGCAGTAATTGGTATCTAATATACCACTGGAAATAGCTTTGCAAAATTGAGAAGGAGCAACTGAGACATTTAGGCCTTATGATGTATTAATGTGAAATGTCATTGTAAAGAAGATGGTCTTTTTTTTTTTTGAGAGAGAGAAAGAGAGAGAGGAGAGTGAGCAGGGGTGGAGGGTCAGAGGTAGAGAGAGAGAATCTTAGGCTCCTTCACCAGCAGGTAGTCTGACAGAGGGCTGGATCTCACAACCCTGAGATCATGCCCTGAGCCAAAACCAAGAATCGTGCGCTTAACCGACTGAGCCACCCAGGTGCCCCGAAGGTAGCCTTTTAATTTGTAAATTTTAATATATAATTTTGAGTGTGATGTACAATTAGAAAAAATGTTTTAAAGTGTGAACTAGATTGATTTCATATGTAGCCTGCTACCACTCTAATAGCGTGACTTGTGGCACTTTCCTATAGGTTTTCCTAGACAGCGACCTCACCAAGCAATCCAGTATTAATTTGGTGGATTTAGCAGGAAGTGAAAGGCAGAAATCTTCAGGATCTGAAGGAGACAGACTGAAGGAAGGATCACGAGTTAACTTAAGTTTAACCAGTTTAGGAAACGTTATCAGGTAAATAATTGGTGCATGGGTATTTATTTCTGCCGTAAAAATGACCTCAGAAATTTAAAAACAATCAGATTAATCATAGCCCTTGGTTCATGACCCACTCATGAACTCATTGGCTCATACCTGGCCCGCCTATATATTTTATTTTAAACTTATTGCTTTTTAATAAAACTGAAAACACCAGTAAATTCACCACCCAACCCAAGAAATAATTGGTATTTCTGTGCTATGCCCCCCTTGGAGGTAGCCACCGTCTTAAATTTTGCTTATCCCCTCTCTGTCCCTTGCTCCCTTTCCTTTTTCACCCTTTCTTGTTTTATCACTTATGAATATTATTAGTTAGTGGCACTCTTTTTTTTTGAAATGTACAAAAAGGGTAAAATATTATACTATCTTTTGGATCTTGTTCTTTTTTAAGTGATATAAGTATATAATTTTTACTTATATAAAGTACACAAATCTTAAATGTTCAGCTTGGTGAATTTTTATATGTATATATATCTATGTAATTACCACCCAGGTCAAGATATAGAACATTTCCAAAACCCAGAAAGCTCCCTTGTACCCTCCTCCTAGATTTTACACCCACCAAAAGAAGTTGACCTTTGCCACTAAAAATTGGTTTTGCCTAACTATATTGATTTTCATCTAAATGACTATGTCTGTGAGACTAAGCCATGTTTCTCATGTAATGTATCAGCTCTTTTTCATTGCTATGTAGGATTCCATTGTAGAAAATATACCACAATTCATTTATCCATTCCCCTATTGATGGACATTTCGTTTGTATCCAGGTTTTGACTATTATGAATAATGTTGCTATGAACATTCTTGTACATATGCTTTGGGGAAAACAATTTCTCATTCCCCTCAAGGATACACCCAGGAGTAGAATTGCTGGGATTGGCTTTTTGACCTAACATTATTATTATTTTTTTTTTTTAAAGATTTTATTTATTTGACAAGAGAGAGACACAGCGAGAGAGGGAACACAAGCAGGGGGAGTGGCAGAGGGAGAAGCAGGCTTCCCGCGGAGCAGGGAGCCCGATGCGGGGCTCGATCCCAGGCCCCTGGGATCATGACCTGAGCCGAAGGCAGATGCCCAACGACTGAGCCACCCAGGCGCCCCTTGATCTAACATTATTAACAATATGTATCCATGTTATGTGTGGCTTTGGTTAATTTGCCCTCTGTTCTGTCACTAAACATTGTGTTTATGAGATCCCCTGTTGTAGTAGAAGTTGTTACTTCTTTTCCATTATGATGTAGTGGGGAATTCCACTGTGGGCATATGCCACAATTTATTCATTTGTTCTCCTGTTGGATTGGCATTTTGGTTGTTTCCAGGTTTTGGTTATTTGCTATTATAAACAGTACTATTATGAACATTCTTGTACAAATCACTGGGTATCACTATATTAAAGTTTCTCTTGAGTATAGACAAAGGACTGAAATTGTTGAATTATTTGTAAGGTGTATGCAATACCTATTTTTTTTTTGGCAGTACCTAACTTTTGACAGTGGGGACAAATTATTTTCCAAGTGTTTGGACCAATTTATACTCCCAGCAGCAATTTATAAAATATCCCATTGATCCACATCTTTTCTAAGGCTTAGTATTGTCACATTTCTTGATATTTACTAATTAAACGGTCTTGCCATGGTCTTGATATTCCTGGTTACTAGAAATTTTGAGCATCTTACCATGGTCTTGATATTCCTGGTTATTAGCAAGTTTGAGTATCATTTGATACATTTACTGGCAATATGTCAGTAAATCTCAAAATACCTGTTATGTTTTGCCTCTTAGTCTATTCAGTTACTGTCTTTTTATTGATTTTTAGGTGTTCTTTACATATTTTGTATTACTCTTTCCTCAGGTATATAATAAATATCTTCTCCCAGCAGGTAGCTTGTCTTTTCACTTTTAGGTATCTATTGATGAACAGAAATCATGGTAATGGTTTTTGTTTTGCATTTCTTGTGTCTTGTTTAAGGAGAGTAGAGTCCAAAAGTTATCTCCCTACATTTCACTTAATTTCCTATCCATCTGGAGTTGACGTCTGTGCGTAGTGTAAGGTAGGCATCCTTTTCATTATTATTTCCTTACAGATTACCAATTTTTTCCAGTTACACTTGTTGAATAGTCTCTCCTTTCCACAGTGGATTTTCTGCACTACCTCTGTCATAGACCAAAATTCAATATATTTGACTTTCTAATCTCTTCAACTGGTCAAAGTCTAAATATTAATAAATGCTTCCTCTTCCTGAATAATACAAGGATCTCCATCCTACATTTGTAATTGTTGATATGTATGTTAATTCTATTCTTCTTTAACCCCAAAGACATTATTATTTCTATTTTACACAGTGTTCATTTTTTTTTAATTATTTACTCCTTTTTAAACCTCAGAGCTGCTAAGATCAGTTTCCTCCTGGTGGAAGTATATTCTATAGAATTTCCTTCAGTGATCACTTGCTGAATGACAAAATCTGCTTTTGTTCGGTTGAAATGTGTTTATTTCACCTCATTCTTGAAAGGTAATTTTGCTGGTTATATAATTCCAGATGTGTAGAATTTTCTTGCAGCTCATTACGGTTACAGTCTCCCATTTTCTGCCGGTGGTCTAATTGCTATTTCCTTGAAGATAATCTATTTTTCCCCCTAGCTGCTTTTAAACTCTTTTGTTTTGATTTTCTCCAATTTCATTGTGTTGCATTTGAGTGTGAATTTATTTATTCGGCTTGGAATTCCCTGGCCCCCAAAGCTCTGTAGATTAGTGATTTTCATCGGGGCTGGAAAGTTCTCAGCCATTACTTCTCATGTACTGTCCGTGCCCATTTATTTTCTCTCTTCTCTTCTGGAACTTCAGTTAAACCATTTAAATATTCTCACACTGTCCTCCATGATTCTTAACCTTCCTCGCTTGTTTCCCATCTTGTGTCTCCAGGCTGCAATCTGGTTAATCTCTTTTGAACTATCTAGTTCACTAATTCCAGTTATAGCAGTGTCTAACTTGCTGTTAAACCTGTCCACTGTATTTTTCATTTCAATTACTGTATTTCTTTCTTTCTAGATCATTTTGTCTCTTTTCCAAACCTGCTAGATTAACTCTATAAATTCCTTGTCACTGTTTGTGATTATAATTTCCCATCGATGGGATTGCCTCCCTCCTCCTCCCTGCTCTGGTCAGTGACAACACCGCTGTGTTTGCAGTGCCCTGGAGTTGGGTGGGGATTGGCCCATTCGCTTATTCACGCTTTCTCTGGTGCCTTGTCATACAGGGTCCTAACTTTATGGGCTCTTCTGAAGGCAGTAGGAGAGAAAAGCAAGAAGGGGACTTAAACTACTCCCCATCCTGGTCTTTACACTGCTAGCTGGCTGCCCTCTTCCTCAGATTGAACTCTTCTTTATGCACAGATTTACAATAGCCTGCAGGCTCCCTGGGTTTTCCTCACATGATTAAGTGTGTTTGTTCCTCAGATCTAGGCTTCCCTCTGGCTGTCATGGTCTCTCCAGGATTGAGGGCAGGGAGGGAGCCTGTGGCCCAGGTGGGTAGCCGTCTTGCGGCAGCATCCTCGTACAGAGGGTGTCTCCACTAATCAATGTTAGTTAGAGTCATGCCTCAGGTTTATGGGGTCAACGAGGGGATGGGTGGTGTGTTTCTGACTTATTCCCAGGGAGGCAGATTTCTTCTTGACATATTTTTTTATCTGTTGTTTTGTATTTTCTTTTTCATTCAGTGCTCTGGCTGATGCAGCCACGGGGAAGAGAGTCTTGCACGTTCCCTACAGAGATTCTGTTCTGACCAAACTGCTCCAGCCAGCTCTGGGCGGGAACAGCAGAACGACTTTGGTAAAGTGACTCTCTGACAGCATGTGACACGGATTTAGCTGTTGCTGTTGTTGTCGCCGTTACTGTTACAATTATGCTTAGTGTACTATGATGTCACACTTTGCATTTACATAGCACATTCTTACCTAGCTCATGACTCCTGGAACTCTTTCTATTACAATGTTCAAATATTGTTCATTTTCGTTTTTTATTTATTCTTTTCTGTAGTTTTCAGGCTCTCTACAAGGAACATTACTATTATTATCAGGAAAAAACATCTGATTTTTCAAATCACACTGATAAGGTCGTACTATTCTAAATCAGGGGTCATTTCAGGGCAAGACTGGAAATCAGTTTGACCATGTGTGAGACACAAGGCAGGTGTTTAACCTGGAGAGGAGCTGAAATGTGTCACCTTAGCAAAGACTCCAGACTCTTACTACTGAAGGTTTGCCAAGCGGGTACAATGCAGAATGTGTTAAAATCGGGATTCTCTGCTCTTTGGCTTCAGGTGTGGGAAGGAACAAAGCCGGGCAAACTCTGCCTGCCTCCTGCTTGCTGTCCCGATTGGGAGAGAAAGGCTCACTGCCTGGCCTGTTCTGTGCATGCTCTCCCAAATTCACAGCAGAAGACATCCTTGTTCTCTATCGCTGAATCTTGCCTACACATTTAAAAATATTTCAAAGTTCTTCTGGTTGTGTTTGCCCGTGGGCCACAGCGGGCACATCCCCCAAGAACCTGGACTAAAAAAGGGGCCCATAAGATGCTCAGAATGTTAGACTACAAAGTCAAGTGTAACAGGTCTGCAGGGCAAGGCCCTGACTTGGGTGCTATGACACTTTAACAGAGAATGATGTGGTTTGGGAGGAGGTTAGGCATCACTTAAAAGAGTATTGCAAAGCCAACATCCAAGTGCTAGATCCTCTGTGGCTCCAATCCTATTTCCGGCACAGTTATCTTAACACCTCCTTTGTTTTAATTCTAAAGTGGATATGCTAACCGTATTCCCTTGAAAGTGTTGCTGTGTGTGTTGTGAATTTGTGTCATGTGTTTGTGTTGTGTATCTGAGGTGTCTGTGAGCTGCGTGTGTCATGTGGGGGGGTATATGTGGGGTCAGCATATGCGATAAATGTGTGTCGCGTGCGTTTTCCGACTTGTAAAGCTTGAACAATACCGTAAATTGCAAGATATTCTATGAACATTAGCTGTACAATATCTACAACAAAAAAACCCTCTAAAATCACACAAGCTGAAAGGGCTATTTTTTACAGATAGCAGCCATAAGCCCCGCTGACATCTGCTATGAAGAAACTTTGTCCACATTAAGATACGCTGAAAGGTACGGGTATGAATATTTACTATCCCTAGTAGCTCTCGGTTCTAAATCTGCCAGATTCTTCCGGTACCCTTCTACCCAATGGGTTGGCAGTTGGGGAAGAGGTCCGGGAGGAGACAAGACAAAATGCTTCCTGGGAACTGGGGCCCTTCTGAGCCTGTCACTCGGTCGCTCCAGCTCTGCATGGGAGAGGCACCAGGGGCGCAAACCGAGGGGGAAGGGCTTGCCAACCCTCCGATGTGATTGGCATCGTCCTCCCTGTATTTCCCTGCCAAATAGCATGGCCATTCACACATTTCTGCCCTTGTCACATGGCCCATGGGGAGCGCGGAGTGGCAGGCAGAGGACTTTCATGCTAATAATATGGGAGGCGACTCCCCGGGCTGGCACCCACTTTCCCGCTCCGCAGCTTTCCCCCCCGGGTTCATTCTCATTTCTCCAGGCCCTGCGCATACAGATTATACTCTCGGAGTAGGCCTGGCGGTCATCAGCATCTCCTCCCGGGGAGGGTTCATCATCGCCAGTTTCCTTCTGTCCAATGGGGCTGGGAAGCAAGTCTATACACTTAGCCTGGGGAGGAGGCTGCAGCCCAGACAGGTTCCTGATTTTCAAGGCAGGTATCTGGATCCTGCTTCTCTGGACCCTTTTAAGATGAGGGTACAGGCCGAGGGATACTCTAAGCAGGGTAGAAGCCACAGGCTGCCACCCCTCCTCCTTCCCTTTGCGTGGCGGACACTGAGAATCTACCACCGAGACCCACCTATCGGGTTCAGATGGGACTTTGGGATTCTGGGCCTCCCCATTCCTCAGCTGCATACCATATGGAGGGAGGTGATTTCTCATCAGAGTCAGGGTGAAGAACACAGGCAATCAGGCACAAACTGTGCTGGACACATGGCAGATGCTCAAAACCATAGTTGTTACTGTGCCACCAAGTAGTGGCCACTCGTCGGGGGCTTCCCTGTGGCCTGGGCTCAGGGAGGGAGTCTTGCATCTCAGGGACACAGACTAGCATCCTCCTGCCTCGTGCAGCCTCAAGACTGTGTTACATCATTAGACATTTCTTCCAGCATCTGCACCGCAAGCTCAGACCTTTGGGTCAATTTTGTCTCTCTGCTTACCAGGTGCAAATCTGCTGCCAGCAGATTTCACGTGAGAGACTATGTGATGCAGAGGAAGGAGAAAACAGTAGCCGAAAGTCCCGGGCTCTGAGCCCGGATGTGCCACGGGCTGTGTGACTTGGGGGCCAAGCCTTGGAGATCCTCTCTTCCTCAGTGAAAGGAGTAAGGTGGCCAGAGTTAGTAAATAAAAACACAGGATCCCCAGTTAAGCTCAAATTTCAGATGCAGAGCAAGTCAGTGTGTTAGTGTAAGTATGTCCCATGCAATACACTAGAGGCAGTGAAAAAGTTAACCCCCAGGACCCCCATCAGCCTGGGGCACATGCAGAGCAGCGTGGACAGCCTCCAGGGTTGAGTTAGGACAGTTGCAGCCGCCCTGACTGCGTAGACTCTTCCATTAGCAGAGTCAGCCCAGTCGGCCAAGTGCATTCAGGACCCAGGACGTGTCAGGGCCGGGCTGTGGGCCCGGCTGAGCTGCTCATGTTTATTTGAGCGGTAGACATCACTCAAGTTCCTTTTGGCCTTAACGGTTCACTGGAACCCCACACAGTGGAATCACCTGGGCTGAAAGGCTCCTGTTTTGCCAGTTGCCGGCCAGTGCTCTGCAAAGGGGCCCAGGGCCTGAGTGTGTGTTCATGTTTGCACATGGAAGGGCTAAAAAGATCCAGAACAAAGCCGTGGTCAACACCTCGATGCTGATGAGAGAGTCAAAGGCAGAGAACAACAAAGTACTGCTCACACGTGGAAATTCCAGGATGGCAGGTAAATTGAGTCTGGAGTCAGTGCCCGGTCCAGGCCAGGCTGGGAGCACGATGGAGGGAGGGACCGGCCGCGGGCTCAGCATGAGGCTTGGCGGGGGGGGGGGGGGGGGGGCCGAACACCTGCCTGGAATCGCTGGAGCCCTAGCCCAGGCTAGGGCAGCCTCTAGGAACATTTTGGCCCTGACCTCAGGGAAGCATACTTTATTTTGAGGTAACCGCAGAGTCGCATGCAGTTGTAAGAAATAACGGCCCTGCCCTTCCTGGAGGGTCATTTTCAGTCTCATTTTTATTGCCATTTTTATTCCGAAGCCATGGTTTCTACCGAGACTACGCTTTCCTTCCCAGAATTGCACGGCGTCCATCTGTCGTTTATTCTACTGATGGTCTCAGGCAGTTAAATGATGTTCAACTCTCCAGAAACCTTAGTGGCAGCACCCCGACCTGCACCATTAATCCCTGGGGGCAGCAGAAGAGCTCACGATGTCCCAGCTGGTTATTGGTTATTCTGCTCCTCCCCCTTGACATTGCATACCTGTTGCTGAAAATGCCTCCCCTTTCCAGAGCGGCCGGCCTGCCTGCTGGCAGAACCAGGGCCTGGGCCGCAGACTGGCCAGCCGACCTGGGCGCACCAGCTGGAGCAGGCTCGGGAGGAGTGGCATCAACAGTATCTGGCCATCGCCCAGGTGAGCCTCCCTGCCTCCACCTGCAGAAGCCGGGCCCAGCGGGGAGCTGCGGCCAGGGGGATTATGGGAGTGGCTTCTGTTTTCAGTGAACATGTAGTATGGGAGATGTGACAATGACTTACATCAATGCTATCGGCAGGGACGAGAGGGAAGGAAGCCAAGAGGCTTGATGAGTGAGGCTGAGGGTAGATTCAAGGCTGTCAATAATTACCGTTCAGGGAGAATTTGAGGACTACGAACTGTCTTGTGGGGACCATATTGTGCCTACCCTGTCATTCACTGGCAGTATCAGATCCTAAATGGGCTGTGATGTGAATTTCGTACGTGGGTCAGGGAGATGCTTCTTGGTCCCCCATCCACAGCACACTCCCTCCGTGACCTGGCCCCCCAAAGCCACAGGAAGCCTGGAAGGGGGGTGAGCCTCAGGCCAGGGGAGCCTAGTGCAGGCGGGGTCTGCAGCACCAGGAGGCCAGGCCGAGTTAGGGCCCAAGGATTCTAGAGTTGTGGACAGTAACAAGGGGAAAGGTTCTTGCTCTCCTTACTCTTTGTCAGAATTTCCAAGATTTAAAAGCTTTCCTTGTGCCTGCACCATATAGTCCGGTTCTTATTGACTAGATCCTCTAGAAGTCCAAGACCAATCTGTACTATACTCAGGGATGAAACACGTTCAGCTGACCAAGAGAGAGTCCTACAGCACGTCCCTTTTTGTCATCAACGTCTGATGACCAGTGAGCTCGCCAGCAGGCCGGGGGAGCATGAGATACAGGGGAGAAGGCTTTAGTGGAGACCCAGGGAAGGATGAGGCCGGTGAGGCACTGGCCTGGAGCATTGGGATGGCGGGGGACTCGGGAAAGTAGAAGTCAGGGTGGAAGGGGTCGATGCAGGGCAGCCAGGCAGGGGGAACAGAGTCGGAGACGGGCTACACTTCGCAACAGTCCTGTCCAGATGAACTCAGGCCCCCGATGGCCGACCTGCCGAGGGGCTCACCCCTGCTCAGTCGAGCCCCCAGCCCCACTCAGCCTTCCTCGTCCGGGTTCACTTTACTGGGCGATTTGACAGGATGCATAGACAAATGGCTTTGGTGCGAAGTGGATAGGACAGGAATGCTGCTCTCTCCTGAGGGTGCAGGCCCTAGGACCTCTCCATGTCCCCTCCAGGAGCGGCAGATGACCGAGACCTTCCCTCACCTTCTCAACGTCAATGAGGACCCACAGCTCGCGGGTGTTCTCAAGTACTTCATTCAGGCTGGTACTCGCCCCTCTTGACCCACTCTGCACCTGCCCCTGCTTCTTGCTTCACAAGCATGTTTCTGGTTCTTTTGAATCTCTGTTTTTGTGGTAAATATACATAACATAGAGTTCACCATGCTGACTATTTTTAAGTATACAGTTCAGGGACACAGTGCTATGCAACCATCACCCCGATCCATCTCCAGAACCTTCCTTCTTCCCAAACTGAAATGCTGTCCCGATGCAACAATAACCCCCTGCCCTTGCCAGGATCAGACCATAAGTGGGCTGCACTTATGACTCTTCTAGGCACCCCGTATAACTGGAATTGTACAATACCTGTCCTTTTGTGACTAGCACGTTTCACTGAGCATAATGTCCTCAAGGTTCATTTATGTTGTAGCAGGTGTCAGATCTCCTTCCTTCCTTTTTAAGGCTGAATAATAGTCTATTATATGTGTATACCACATTTTTTTTTTTATCTATTCAAACTTTGGAAAATGGCATCGGTATTATAGTAACATCTGGCTTTCTGCACCCTGGCCTTATGCGCACCCCCTGGACAGGAGAGGGTTCATGCGGGATGGAAGTGGGGGGCAGCCCCCCGGGGGGGCCGGCATGGTGCTCTGGGCCCTGTCCGGGGGTCAGTGACAGGACTGAAACAGAGCTTCACAGACCAGGACCTTCCCCGTGGCCAGGCTTCATTGCATCTCCCAAGGCCCAGACGAAACAGTTTCTTCCTCCAGAATTCCCACCAACAAGGTGGAATTTGAAAAAAGTTAGGAATCCCACCAGGACAGCGCAGAACGTAAAACAATGATCCCTAAGGCAGGGTGGTGTCCAAGGACTTATGACTGAAAATCCTAGCAGCGAAATCCCCTCACACAATCCTCTTGGAGATGAAATAGCACTGCCCAAACATGAGACATGATCCCTGTCCAGGTCAAATCCTGACAAACTTTGAAGACCAATTATCCCAATTCTTTTCAAGGTTCATGTGACGCTGGTCGGGCTGCATCAAATGCCATCCTTCTTCAAGGTTTAGGGTAAGTCTACACAAACCATCTTTGTCCAGCATGCCTGAGCTGTGACCAGTCAGCCCACGGGAGAATCTCAGTGTTTGTCTGGTTGTCGCCGGGCCAGGCCACAAAGCCTGCTGGACAACCCTGAACAAGAAAGCACCAAACTGTCCTCAGGATCCACTCCAGGGCTTAGGGAAGAAAGCCTTGGAAGGGCTTTCAAGCTCTCACTGGAATCCCTCTTGCTGCGCCCAGCTTGTCTCCAATATGGGGAGAAAGGCGAAGGCCAGTGGCTAGATGCTGTATGAGAATTTAGCACACGGGGACATAAGTAGATGAGGCCAGAGAGTGAAAAGAGAGCCCACCACAAGTGGTTCACGTCTTTCGTGGTCTTAACCACTGAAGCAACAGCATCCTCAGACCTCTGTGCTCAGAGCCCTCCCTCACCAACTGGACTAAGACGAAGCCCAGCCTCTGAGGTGATCCCCCCTACGAAGTGCGGCCCTGCGGAACCCTCTGACGGCCCCCACAAACTTGCAGCTCTCCCGTACCTCTGTGGCCTGCCCACAGATTTCCAGCCAGGAGCCTCAATCAGCTCATACAGAGGCTTGACCGACCCATACCCCTGATGTAGCTCAGCCCTCCTGAGCTAAAATGCAGGGAGAGGAGGGGAGGGGGCCTGTGCTGACCCTGCCCCGCCAACCTCTTGGTCTCTTCTCCTGACTCGTCCTGGGGACCCCCCTCCTCTCCCTTTCCAGACCACTCCCTGGGGGGACCCTACACAGATCTGTAAATGGCTGAACTCCAGATGAGCCGAGGTTAAAACCTTTCCCACAGCATCCCTGGGCACCAAGCAAACAAGCAATATGGATGGACATGTGTCTCAACACCCAGAACATTCCATGACAGCCAAGGAGTCTAGGAACATTCTAGAACAGTTAAGAAGCTGGTCATTCAGGGCACACAGATAATGTCTAGGGGGCAGCCAATTTCTGACACCTCTGACATCAATCCCCCAACTCTTTAGCGTATAAAGTCTGGATTTGTATGATAAGACCCAGAAATGGATCTAAACTTCTCTGTGGTATGGACATTATTATCAGTCATTAGTAGTCAACTGCCCCGGCATCCTTTGGAAACATCTTTGCTTTTCATGTCCCCCCCCACCCCCACCCAGTCCTGCTGGCCTGTGAGTTCTCGAGGACTCTAGCCATGACCCTGCCTGTCCAGGCTCCTTGCGGCTCTCAGCCCTCAGCCCATGTGGTTCTACTGGTAGAAGAATTGCTTTGTTGTCCTTCTGCACCTGCTTCTCCACCTGCAGCCCCGGGAGCCACAGCCCCAGACCGCTTCCTGCCACTCGGCGGCCACGGGAGGTCTTACTGAAGCAGGAAAAAAGACAAACAATCAGAACTGTTCGCTAAAGTCATCATTGTTGTGGCTCCTTAGACAAACTCTTGTCTTTTTAGAATTTCAGATAAACACGCTTCCTTCACCAATCTGGATGGGAAAGTGACGGTCACGCCACAAAGCAAATGCAAAGTTGTCATTAATGGGGTGCCCATCATGACCAAGACGAAGCTGCAGCACCTGGTAAACTTTCCTGCCTGGTCACAGGATTCCCTAAGTCCAACCCGAGAGCTAGGATGGGGGTCCTCGACAGAAGCACCCGGCTCCCGCTGCGGCGAGGGCCAGGCAGGGCTGGGAGCCAACCACCCCGTGCCCTTCTGCGACAGTCACAATGGACGTGGTCACAGCCTGGGGTTGGGAGACCTGATATTAACTCGCTGTGTGTTCTTGGGCAAGTCACTTCACTTGTCTGGACTTCATCTACAAAACAGAGAGGAGTGAACTAGAAGTTCACCAAGACCCTTTCCAGCTCTAATGTTGTATGATAGCTTAGACTTCTTTAAAAACCTGCCACAGGGAAGGACTGTAGCCCCTCGAAGAGCCTGGGCTCCCCATCTCCTCCCCATGCCCCAGCCTGAGTCCACAGCACTGTAGGGCCCAATCCCCTCTTCAACCCATTCCCCACACTGTAGCCACAGAGAACCTTCTAGACAAGCTATTTGGATTAGACCCCGCCCTCCTAGAAATCCTCAGTGACCACACCTGTGTGAGCGGCCCCATCGCTCCTCCTCCTCCAGCCTCACTGCTCCGCACGGAGGTCACACTGACCTTCTCTTGATCTTTCAAAACATCCCAGGCTCTGCTCAGCAGCGGTCTTCTCTGCCTTGGTGAAACTTACCACCCCTGACGTCTTAGCTTAAATAGTGCGCCTCGGGAGAGGATTGCTCGGATCCCCAGTACGTATTAGGCCCCTCGTCCCTTCTGCAGAAGCGCCCCCTCTCATTCAAGCATCTCTCTCAGGCTATTACACTATTTGTCTATAAAGTCCTAGAGGGGAGGGCCCAGGTCTGTTTGGTCCCCACCGGGATTCCCGATTCAGAGCTTGGTGTGGGATACCGAGGAAAAACTGAAAGCGTACACACAAAAGCAAGATGCCAACCTCTTCCTCCCTGTTCATGGGTCTCTTCCCCGTCTGGGGAACTCGTGAAGGTCTTGTGATTTAACACAGCCGGACAGGGCATGGGGCTTTGGCCTCCCCTGGGGCAGGCTGATCCCACACCTCTGGCCTCCATCCTTCCCTGAGCCACCTGTCTCCTCCCTAGGACCGCATTATCTTGGGATCCAACAGCGCCTACCTCTACATTGGGTTTCCTTCAGAGAGAGGCAATGAAGACTTGAACAGGTTTGACTATGACTTTTTCCAGCTGGAGCAGCTGCAGAAGGAGTGAGCGTGGACAAGCTCGGTGAGCAGCCCAGGGCCCTGCCTTCCCAGCATCTTCCACGTGCTGGTCTGAAAGCAACGGCTTTTGCTGTGTGCGCTCCTACCTTCCTTAAGAAAATCATCTTTTACTGTTTCAAAGGGCAATGTTTGGAAAGTTAAAATAGATTTCCATGTCGATGTAGAAATGAGGGCATGTCAAAGATTTAATTCATTAAACTGTTTCTTTAGGGCACCTGGGTGGCTCAGATGGTTAAGTGTCTGCCTTCAGCTCAGGTTGTGATCCCAGGGTCCTGGGATCGAGTCCCCGCAACGGGTTCCTGGCTCAGTGGGGAGCCTGCCTCTTCCCCTGCTCATGCTCTCTCTATCTCTGTGTCTCAAATGAATAAATAAAATCTTTAAAAAAAATAAAAAATAAACCGTTTCTTTAATAAATGGAGAAGAGAGTGGTATATCCAGTTGACCCTTGAACAACACGGGTTTGAAATGCATGGGTCCACTTATATGTGGATTTTTTTTTAAATAAATACAGCATAGTTTTGTAAATGTATTTTCTCTTCCTGAGAATTTTCCTCTCTCTAGCGTACTTTGTTGTAAGAACACAGTATATAATACATAGAACAGACAAAATATGTGTTCATCAATTGCTTCCTGGTGAGTCTTCCTGCCAACGATAGGCTACTACTAGGTACGTTTCGGGGGAGTCAAAAGTTGAGTGGATTTTTGACTCTAAGGGGGGTCGGGCCCCCAACCAATAGTTTAGTGAGTGGACACTGGGACATCCCCTTAGGGGATCAGAATCCCTACACAAGGCTCTGCTAGGACATTTAAAGGACAGTCATCCCTTTTGCCTTATTTCCGTGTTCTGGAGGTTCTTCTCCAGAGTCTCCCCTGCACTTCACAGCTGCCGTGTGGCTCTCAGACATAATTCCCACTACGTCGTGGCCAGTCCACCTGTCCTCAGTGCCTGGACACGCTCTGCCCTCCTTCCCCAGAGCCTCTTGCCACGGCGGGGAAGCACTGTGTGGACAATTCCTCAATTTTGAAGCAATTTCTTGAGACGTACAGAAAAGTTTCAAGAGTCGTGCGTAGGACTCTCATACACACCTGAGTTCCTGTGTCAACATTTACTACACTTGCTTTATTATATATCTGTAATGTGTGTATATATATGTAAATATGTGTATACATCTTTAAATATATATAATTTTTTCCTAATCATTTGAGAGTAAGTGGGTTGAGAGTAATCATTGAGAGTAATTGAGAGTAATATGGACTTGATGCATATTTAACTAATTGTTTGTGTCAACGGTGTCCTTTATAACAACAACAAATTCAAGTCCAACATCCAAATAAGGACCACATTCAGTTGTCACGTCTTTGGTCTCCTTAAACCTGGTAAAGGTCTTTGTCTTTCATGACCTTGATGTTTTTAAAGAGTAAAGCCCAGTTGGTTAGCAAAATGTTCCTTAATTTATCTTTTTGGTGGCTGCCCGGTTTCTCCACTGTGAAGTTACTATCTTTTTAATTAACATATTTTTTAAGATTTTATTTTTATTTATTTGACAGAGAGACAGCAAGAGAGGTGGCAGAGGGAGAAGCGGACTTCCCGCTGAGCAGGGAGCCCGATGCGGGGCTCGATCCCAGGACCCTGGGATCATGACCTGAGCTGAAGGCAGATGCTTAACGACTGAGCCGCCCAGGCGCCCCTTTAATTAATATTTTGAGAGACTTTGATATGTAGATACCCTACATCTCGTCATACTTTCATCCATTAGTTTTATCATCCTTTGATCATTCTTGCTTGGATTATGATGATGATTTTTGTCAAATGGTGAATCTCTAGCTGGACCCTTTCTTCTACATTTAGTTGAAAAAATCCACTGTGAAGAAGAAATAGTCTGTATTTGTTTAGTCACTTATTTATGTCAATGTGAACTCACAGAATCCAATTTTACACAATGGGTTTTAATCTGTTGCTTTCAGGGGTTTTTTTGATGCACAAACTGTCCTACATATGGCCTGAGGAGTCCCTTCAAGCTGACTTCTGTGTCTTCCTGACATGTCCCCATCGTTCTTTGAACACCAGCTTCCTTTCTGGCAGAAGAACATGTTCTAGATTCATCTGTGGACTCTCAGTCCCAGCCCTGGAGTCAGGCACTTCTCCCAGCATCCTGACTCCTTTGGGTTGAGCACGGCACTTATAAATCAGGATCTGTGGCCAGGTGTGCAGACCACTGTATTGATATAGGGATATGTCTCTATGGACAGAGAGATGTACATCTCCCACACACACACCGATAGCTTTGTCTATATCCACAAAACCATGACTTCATATATGATAACTTCCAATTCCAGTTCAATGCCCCAGGGGATAGTCTAGTTTTCCCTTGGTGCAGAAAACTTTTAATATAATATTTATGTTCCATTTTTCTCCATCTGTCCTCTGGATTCCATCCCCCGGAGCAGAGGGAGAGGGAGAAGCAGATGCCACGATGAGCAGGAAGCCCCACGTGAGACTTGGCCCCAGCGCCCCGAGATCATGACCTGAGTTGAAGGCAGACCCTTAACCAACTGAGCCACCCAGGCTCCCCCACCGCAGCACCTTCTTAATCATTTGTCCCTGCAGAGTCCCCTCCCCTGCACCATCAAATGCTCTCTATGTGTCGTTCCCATCACACAAACATGCTCCACTATCTTCCATCATAAAACTAAACAAAGCCCTACCTTGACCCACACCCCCCTTTAGCTACGCCATATTGCTTTTTATTCCCTTTGATAGAAAACTAGTCAGCTATTCCCACTTTCTCATCTCTCAGGCACGCCCTGGCCTCCTCCGGCTGGCCTCCATCCCTACCATTCCTAGACGCTGTGCATTCTGTGTTCTAGATCAGTAGGCACCTGTCCACACCCATCTCACTGAGGTCTGGGCAACGTTTTGCACTGTTGAGTACTCTCTCCCGTGTGAAATATTTTCCTCTTGGAACAACACGCCCTCTTGGTTTCCTTCCAGGCTGCCGCTCCCACATCCCCTTTCCTGGCTCCCCCTCATCTGAGCCATGTTGAGCTTGGACCTTGGGACTCTTCTCCAGATGGATGCTCCCCCAGGTCCTCATCCAGCCTCAGTGGCGCTCAGCACCATCTTATGGAAACGACCCTCAGGAACCGTTTCTTACTGCCTACTTGTGCTCTGCTTGGCTTCTTCATCCAGCTGCCTTCCCGATAGCTCTGCCTGCACGTCCCACAGACGTCTCAACCACTCACTGCACCCTATTTTCATACCCAAGATTTACCACATTGGCCTCCTCCCTTCCCTCTCTTCGTGATCCAGTCCACCTTTCCTCCCTCGGCTTGCACTGCCATTTCTGTGCAAGCCACCTTCTTCTCTTGCCTGTTACTGTCGGGCTGAAAATTATTCATCAACTTCTCAGTGTAAGAATAAAACCCAAACTCCTTACCATGGCCTTGAAGGCCCTATATGACCCACCACAGCCTCATCTCACACCACTCTCTCCTTACCTCACTTCGAAACTCCCTGCTCTCCTTGCACTCCTGCAGCACACACCAAGCCCTGTTCTGCCTCAGGGCCTTTGTACTTGTTGCTTGTTTTCCTTTGCGTCGTCAGCTCATTCTCAGCTTTCAACCCTCAGTTGAAATCTTACCTTTCAGATAGATCTTCCCGTCTTGGTCTCATCCAGTTACTCTCTCTTACATAACTCTATTTCCTTCTAATATTTATCACATTTAAAATTTTACTTATTGCTTGATTATTTTCTGCTCATCCATGTGAGAATATCAGCTCTAACTGGGATTTTTTTTTCTCTTGTTCATCCATTTATTTATATCTTCTTTCATTCAGTAAGTATTAGCTGAGCTCCTACTACGTGCTAGATGCGATTTTAAATCCTGGGGATCCTTCCCTGCTTTACAGAGCTGATGGGAGCATGTTCACTCCCTAATCTCCAGAGCGCCCTCAGTGAGTATTTGTTGAATGAATGATGAATGAGATAAATTGAATCAGTCCCCACACAGAAGCTTAGTTATGCATGTGTGTGGCCAAGGGCCCAAATGGGAGCACCTCCTTGCTCTGTTCTGTCTGGGAACACAGCCACCCCAGGAGCATCATGGCCCGGACATCAGGTCCCTCCCAGGGGAGGGCAGACTGGGATGTGAGCTCCCCACTCACCTCCTAGCCCCACCCAGCGGCCTTCTGAGCCTACAGAAGCTATGACCCAATAACTAGAGAGACCCAATGCGAGGCTGGACAGATGGTTGGAGAGACGGTGATGGACAGAGGCCAGGCCCTGGCCTAGAGAAAATCCAGCCTTGGGTTTCTGAGTCTAAGATGTTCCTTCTGCTCTCAACCTACCTTCCACCCCCCCAGCAATAATCTGGGATTCCTCAGAGTCAAGAGCATTCAAAGCTCTGACACTGCCCTTCCTTGCATCAGGGAGGCTCCGGAGCACCTTCCCTGTCTCCCACACCCAGGCCTGGGTGGCTTTGCTCAGGGCTCTCCTGGGGTCTGGGCAAACCGGCACTCCACAGAGAGCTTTGTGCTGTGCTGGGCCCCTGGGTGGAGGAGCGGCTCATAAATGCCAGTCCCAGCCCTTTCCTGGGGAACACTAGCTTGCCTGAACTTGCCTGAAAACCATGAGTGGAGGGCACTGGGATACACCCACACGCGTGCAAAATAGTCTCTCCCTTTTCCCTACACCAGAGTTTTTTCCTCCGAATTTCAGCAAAATAAACAAATGCGAAATTCACCTCCTTACTCCTTTTCTGCTGCAGTTCCTGACCCAAGCAAACAAGGCTCTGGAGCACCAAGCCTACATACTCCATTTACTCATGCACACCTGCTTCCCCAGCCCAGGGCTAGTGACACAACGAGGTGCAACAAGCCCCAGACCCTGGGTTGAAAGCACTCGGCATCTGTGAAGACTGCAGGTCCTCAACAAGGCAGTAGTGGATAGTTCTGGGGAGCCAGACCTCAAGGCCACAGGGCACGGTGTGGACCCATGGGCAGGAAATCCCTAAAGAGTTGAGAGTCCCTGACGCAAGGCAGCGCCAGCCTGGGTCTGACAGGGGGACTGGCCGTCCCACCATCTCCAGGACCCCCAGCTGTAAGCCGCCCAAGGGACAGAAGTAAGAACAGGTTACCTGCTGTTCAAGAGGAATCCCCAGACCTTCATGTAGCCAACCACGCTTTACACTTCCCACCCTCCTCCCGGGACAATCTGCAGCTGCTTTGGTCAAGGACCCTGAGACCACTAATGGGAACCAGAGGCAGGGAGCTTCCTGTCGTGACACTGCCGAGATTCATGGGTTGAGATGAGTAGCTATTTGAGAGTCAGGTGGTGGTTTTTCTCCACACTTACTTGGTTTTGGGTGTTTTTTCAAGGTTTATTTGAGAGACAGAGAGAGAGCACGTGCATGAGTGGGGAGAGGGGCAGAGGGAGGGGGAGAAGCAGGCTCCCCGCAGAGCAGTGAGCCCCACGCAGGACTCGATCCCAGGACTCTGGGATCATGACCTGAGCCGAAGGCAGACGCTTAGCCCACTGAGCCACCCAGGTGCCCCTGGTTTGTTTGTTTTTTAATTACATGCTTGTAATTTTTAAATGCAGACATTTGATGAACAATTGAACGAATGAGCAAGCATATGAATTCCCTTGTGGCTGACGAGTGTCCCGGAACAGGTGGCCAGCGCTCAGGAGCACTGTGCTGTCTTCCTAGGGGCCGCGGGCCGCAGGGAGGGGAACGCAGACCCCAGCGTGCTGGCCGTGTTCCAGGACTATGTCAAACTGATGCCGCTGGTGGCAGAAGCGAATCAAATGGGCGAAGAGCTGGAGAAGGTAAAGAGCTAGGAGATGGTACAGCACCAGGTCCAGGAAAGGCCCGGAGAACGAGGTCCACAGCCCCTCACGCCACTGTTCCAGCTGTCTCGGTGGTATGGATGGGGACATTGGGCCTGGAGAGGTCAGGACCCGGGACCCCACCGGGAGCCAGTGACAAAACCCAGGTCAACACCCAGAACTGACCAGTCCCAGCCGCTAGCGCCCTTCCTTCCACCTCTGGCCACTGAGGCCACCACGGCCACCAGGGCCCCAGACCCCAGGACCCCAGACCAATGCTTGCCTGCCAAACCACCCCATCCCAGATTGCGCTCCAGCGGGGTTTCTCTGGGCCCGGCACCCCAAAGCCTTCTAGGCCACAGAGAGGACCTGAGCGGGAGTTGGCCCCCTGGACGCAGGATCCCAATCCTCAAGAAACTTGCAAGAGACTTACACGCTTTGGGAGTGTCAGAGACAGGGAAAGACAGGGCTGATAAATGCAGGGTGACTTAGGGCAAAGTGTTTCTCTTGCCAGGGACTCAGAATGGAACTGAAGGTGAAGAATTTAGTGTCGTCAGACTCTAGGGGCTACGACCTGCAGAAAGAGGTCATGGTGAAGGTGACCCACCAAAGGACTCATGAGGTGAGGACGCCTCTGGGGACGGGGTTTCTGAGGCACTCTTCCAGGGACAGAGGTCAGTTCTCCCCGACAGCCTGTGGAGCCCCAGTGAAAGGATACCATGTGTTCTGAGCGTGAGCTGGGACTCTGGGAACAGAAGACCCCTCCTCTGTGTTTCCCTCCTGGGCCTCTCTCCCACACGGCACCAAGTCCTGGGATTGGTCCCGATCACCAGCACTGGATACTTTCTGTTGATTTTTTTTTTCAATTTTTATTTATTTATTTGAGAGAGAAAGAGCATGAGCAGGAGAGGGAGAAGCAGGCTTCCCGCGGAGCAGGGAGCCTGATATGGGATTCGATCCCAGGACCCTAGGATCATGACCTGAGCCGAAGGCAGCCACTTAACCAACTGAGCCACCCAGGTGCCCTATTTCTAACATGACTTAAAGGCTTGAGTACCAGAAGGGAGCCTGAGAGTTCATCCAACTGATGGTGGTGTCTGTGTGCGAGCAAGACAGAAACAGAGAGACGTGCCCGTCTGGAGCAATGAGAAAATCTGCACTCCTGTTAAGATTCCAGAAAAGGCCATGGCTGATCCATTCCCATGTTTGCCTTTGCTCACTGGCAGGAGGGTCCTAAAACCCCTTGCCTTTCCCTCTGCCCAACAGAAAAGACTGGGACGCTCTTTTGGTGTCCCTTACATATTTTTGCCTTCAGAGCAACCCCCAGACCTCTGGCTCCAGCCTGACACGCACTCCTTAGCCCGTCTTCCGAGACGAGCCCCGACTTCTCCAGGGGCCTCCAGGTGGGCTGCTCCCTCCCAAATCCACGGCCGGAGTTGGCAAACGTGCCGCCGGCGAAGGGGACCATCCGTCACTGGATGATCTCCTCTACCGAGCAATGAGCTGTTCCTTCCCTGGGTTTCACACTTCTGTTCGTTCCCCCAAAGTTGTCAAAATCTTCTGGGTCAAGCCCGCTGTGTAAAACCTTAAAATTGTGAAATGCGACACACAGGGAAAGATAGCCAGGGGCCTGTGCCTGTGTTTTCTGCCACGTGCTGGGGTCACAAGGTCACGGCTTGAGTTTAACGGGCCCCCAGGCTGGGAGGGCCCAGAGAGCAAACCTGAGCCAGGCCAGTCTCGAGCCCGAACTTGAGACATGTTCCTGTTCTTTTCTGTCTCTTCCTCTGACCAGCGCCACCGTGGCCTCCTCTGAATCTCCTGGGGTGAGGAGAGAGGGGAGACGTGTCCCATCCCTTCACAACACTGTAGCAAAGTCCCCCACCGCCGGGGAGGCTCGAGCAACAAACCTTTATCTGTCACAGCTCTGGAGGCTGGAAGCCCAAAATCGTGGCATGGGCAGATATGCTATCCGGTGAGGGATGGCTTCACGGGTCAGAGCGGACACCTTCTCGCTGGGTCCTCGCGTGGTGTTAGGGGCCTGGGAGGGCTCTGGGGCCGCCTTCGTAAGGGTGCTAACTCCATTCATGAGGGCTCCACCCTCATGAGCTGGTCACCTCGCATAGGCTCTGCTTCCTTATCCCATCACATCGGGGGTTAGGTTCCAGTGTATGGATTTGGGGGGACCCAACATTCAGTCCAGAGCAGCAGGCTTGATGCCAGCTCACCGCACACCCCCAGGGCAGCTCTCAGAGGTCTTGCTGTGAGACACCCACCCTGGGAGTCAACCTGGACTTTTGTGAGGCCTTCGGAGCTGAATCCTCAATGTGTGTGTGATTATGCTTTTGTTTCTTGTGTTTTCTGGAAGGTACCACGAGGACAGAGAAGCTTTGGTGATCCAGTGTTCCACATGGCTCTCTGGGGCCAGGCATGCCCCCTGAGTTGGGGCTGGCAGTTTCCTGCTGTCTTGTCAGACCTTGTTTCAAGGAGATCTTTAGTTTTTAAAAACTGTTTTTCGTGTGATTCTGTGTTCCAAGGCTTATTGTTTATTATGGTTTAAGGTGATTTGAAAACACTTTATTCAGCCTCTTCTATTATTAGCAGAAAGGTTACCTGAATCACACAGGCTGCCCTGGCCAGAAATAGAAGGTAAAGCAGTGTTTTTGCATCTTAGAGTTAAGCATGTCCTGGGGGAGAGCATTGGCTGGCTTCTGTAGAAACCACACTGGGCTCCCTTGTAAGGGGCTGGGTGCTAACAGATTTTGTTTCTATTTTCCTTTCTTCTCAGAAGCTAATCTTACTGATCTGTCATCTTCAAGGCTGTCCATTTCACCTTTTTAAAAGTATCAGTGACCCTTCCTCGAAAGAAGGTACTCCTTCCCCAGGAGCCCACCTGAAATGTTGGCGGTTGGTCATTCTGGGAATGCTCTGTGGGTCTGGTTCTGGAGGCTCGAAGAACAGCCTGGTGCAGAGTGGCAATGTGGACACACTTGGCACGTTTTTGGTGGCTGGTCTTGCAAACGTTCACCTCAGACTGCGAACCGTGAATGCCACTGGGAGGAGACAGGACCCACGGGCTGCTTGTGTGACCGTCAAAGTCACACGTCCCACACAATTCAGGAGCTGGCCAGGGCCATGGGAGGAGAGGGAGGTCATCTACACTGGAATGGCTAGCCACACTCACTTTTCAGGAGTTCCTGTGCAAAAGCTTCCAGCCAGGGAGTCTGTGCCTAGGGTCACCCCCGCCAGTCCCGCAGAACCTCGACCCGTCACAGGGCCCGCAGTCTGCTCTCCGCAAGGAGGGACGCAGTGGACTGATGATCTGGGTTCCCATGATCTTAGCTCCTTAGCCTAAGGGTCTTGGAAAAGCCCACACACTCTGGAACTTGTGTTGTGCTCTGTCCACATAGCGTTGGCCACGGCCACATTCGCAGGGACACTTGGAGGACAGGGCTGTGCCTCACTGTACTCAAGGCAGATGAGAAAAGAAAAAAGTCTTTTAGTGTCTGGAGGATGTTCTTTTTTTTGAGACACGTTAACACTCAGAGAAGGACGTATCTATTAGTTTCTTGTGTTTTCAAGTTGCTCAGGGAAGGAGGTGCGTAGTTTACCTGGAAACCACTTCTGATGTGATGTTTATGGTCCAGAACATTCCATCTCACTTGCGTGCCCCCCCACCGCCCCCACAGCTTATGCTTCTGTCCTCTTTCTCAGCAGCCGTGTCCCTCACCCAGTGAGGGAACAGACAGTGGCAGGCTTTCTCGGGGCCATGAGCTCACACGTTTATCCTCTTATAGTTCTGTAGCCGCAGGCCCAGCCCAGGCCTCCCTGCGCAAAAGCAAGGGGCTGGCAGAGATGTTTTGCTTTCTGGAGGCTTGCGGGGCACTTGGTTTCCTTGTTTCTTCAAACTCCTAGAGGTCCCCACTTTCCCAGGCTCACGGCCATCACAATCCATCTCCAAAGTCAGCCATATGGCATCTCCCTGACCCGGCTTCGGCCACCGTCTCTCCAACCATGTCTTCTGCTTCCTTCCACACTTAAGGTCCATGTGATTACATGGGGCTCACATGGATAATCCAAGCGAATCTCCCTATTTTAAGGTCAGCTGATAAGCAAACTTGATTCCACCTGCAACCTTACTTTCCTTTGCCACATGAGGACATACGGGCAGGTTCCAGAGCCTGGGACACAGACATCTCGGAGGGCCATTATTCCGTGGACCACAAGCCTCAAACCTCCATTTCTCCTGGGAGGGCCCATTGTCTAAACCCTTCATCATCTCCTCTGAGTTGTTAGGCTCCAGCAACTCAAGGAATGCTGAAGTGATGGGTCAGGAATGAATGTGGACGAAGTTTGATGAGAGCATGGTGTACTCCGGTACCCCGAGCCCAGTCCACCTGAGGCGGCATGCTGGGAAAAATCAGGGGAACGACCCACGAGCAGGTAAAGTCATACACTGGTGACCCACCTTTGTATTTCCAGGTGTGGATCTGGTCAAAAGCCAAGTTTATCAATAGGAAATTCCTAATGAAGGAACTTTACCAGCGCTTTCTAGAGGGGGAAGATGGCCGCGTGGCTCAGGAAGATGACCCTTTCTGGGATCCCGTCAAGGTCGTCCACCTGGGCTCAGCTCACATCTGGCTCCAGCCACTTGCCTACTGCATGAAGCTTGAGGACCAGGTGGAGTTCCTCAACTGCGATGGAATAGAGGAGGCTGTGCTGCACATCCATGTGACGCCCTGCTCCCCGGCAGGACAGTGGGTGTCTCCTTCTCCCCCTAGCCTGGCCCTGGGTCTGCCCAGCAGAAAGCTCATAGTGTGCCTGCGTTCTCCCAGAGCAGGTGGTCAGCTTGGTGCCCAGCGGAGCTCATTTAGTCATGATTTGGCCTCATCAAATTGGGTTTTTGCCATGGCGGCCAAATCGGCTGACCTAGAATATTCCAGAGCCTGGTGGGGAGGCCCTAGAGCCAGAAGGAGAAAGCTGGTTTTCCAGTTCTCCCTTCTCCATCCTGGGTATAGGCTCTGATCATTTTTTTTTTTTTTGGTTCCTTTTCTCAAGGTAGAGACTGAGGTGCCTTTGTTCCCTGACCTGGCCTCATTCTGGGTGGTTATCCGACCTTCCGTGGGGATGGGCTTTGCTTTAATTCTGTTGTGTTGCCTCTTACCCTCCTTCTGGGGAGCCTCCTCAGTTCTCACTTCAGGCTGTAGGCAGTTCACAAAAGCCCAAGTCTCTTAGCAATCCTAAGCAAAGAGGCAGGCAGGCAGGGGCTCTGGCCTGGGGACTCAGTCCCCTTGGGTGCCCACAGCAGCCTTTTTGTCTTTCTGAAGAGGCAACAGGCTCAGGAAGGGGGCAAGAGGACTGCAAGGTCCTGTGACCCAGGGACCAAGCTGACCATCAACTCACTTTGTTGGGACTCGATGAAAGTTTCCGGTCACTGGGCCACCTTGGGCTTCTGGGCTACTGGATGGCTGATCTCTCATGGCAAGTTAGTAAGGCAGCATTTTAGTTTCTAGGCTTTGGTCTTTGTGAGCTTGAAGGGAGTTGATGTGAGAGACGGCCCCTGTTGGAAAGCGGTCCAAATTGGTTTGCAAACTTGTAGGCTTGGAATTGACTCTGGACTGTGAAGATTTCACCAAGGAAAATGGCACCTTGAGGAGGCCGTGTCTAGGCAGCCAGCTGGCTCTCCCTGGGTAGGAGCCCCTCTCACCCCTGGGAACCTACCTAGGTCTCCACTGCTAGCTCAATTATCGCATGAAGCGGTTATATTGCTGTCTCCTCCTTGAGAAGGTTGTGAGCTCTTTGAATGTCTCTTGAATGAATTGAATTCCACAGCTGGTAACATCCCCCGTCTTTTCTTCAGAGAAGTTGGCCATCTCTTGAGGAGTCTCAATGATCCTCTTTGACGACAAAATCCTAACTTGCATCGGCCCCGGCTAACACCTGTGGTCCATGTTCTCCTTCTCTGTTTGCAGAGCATGTGGTGAGGAGGATGTGGTTATTGACCCTTTAGAGTTGCTGGGCAAGAGGATGGATTTCCAGATTGGCCTCGTGCGGTGCCCTGGCATTAAGTGGCTCAAGGAAGGCACAGAGCGGGGCATTCAGATGGGGTACCAGCCTGCCCCATGGAGCTGTGTGCACACACCACCCCCTCTGTGGGCCCCGGTGGGAGGGAGTTTTTCCTTAAGTTTGAAAAATGAGTGTATCATGAAATTTTCTTAAGTTTCTCTGCTTGCTCAACCCCAACATGAGTATTTCCCCATCTGTTTAATGGAAGCCCCACCTACTTCTAGGTTGCTGGACAATAAGCCATGTATGCTGAGAAGAGTGACTGAAACAGCAGAGATTTTAATTATCTGATAGAATACCCAGTAAAGCTGTATTATCTACATGGAATAGTTTTGGGATTTTTTGAGTTGGAAACAAAAGGACTGTATTGCAATATGGTGGAAGCACCAGATAGGCTTAATTAGGCTAAAAAGATTTTAAGCGATAAAGGGAAGTTTTGAAGAACGAAAACCAATCCACCACCTCACATGGAAAATTAACACTTTTTGATTATTGATGTAGAAAGTATTTATCAAAGTG